TTCCGCTGCGCCACAAGGCGCCATTTTGTATGTATCAGAATGTACGTTGCTTGTTGAGATTTCACTAGCACTGCATTGTCCATCCAGTCCTTTTTATCMCAATGCGGATCCTTGGTTATATATGTACATCGCCCAACTGGGCATGTAACAGTTGGTAYCGGAGCACCGCATGCGAATCAGGACAACCTGATYTGACACGTGTGCAGGGACTAGGTAGCTGATTAGTCTTGATTGATTGATTAKAGCACACTAGTTAGCCCCCAAAATCGCAATTTTGACCTCACTGGAGTCTATGCCGAAAATCAATTTTTTTTCTTTTCTTGGATTTTGTTTTCCYGCTATCTCTGTTGTGGAAAATCGCAATAGCGCAACACCTGAAATTTTCGTTTTCGTTTTTCTTCTGAAAATTCAAAATTTCGTTGTTGGAAATCCGGATTATTTTTTTTTGAAAATTTCGATTTCCTTTTGCAATTTCCCATTATTTTGTATTTTCGAAATTCGTCTTTTTTAAAAACGGTACGGGAAATCCCTCTTGCAGTTATCATTCTCCAAACTGCGTGTACTCTCATTTGAGTATTCCGAATATTTTGCTGTATTTTATTGTCGGAATTCTTTTTCGGATAATCATTTGCAGTCTAAAAGTTCGAATTGTTGTTTTCTCATTAGTAATTTCGCACTTCAGGGGGAATTGGGAGGCCTACTGAACTTGCAAACAACTATTTTTTTCTTTTTCTTGATGTTTTTTGCAAAGTTCAAACTTTTCTTTTTTTGATTAGTGGCTCCTTATCTGGGCGACGTATCCCACCCACCCCTCCCCACCTATGTTGTTGCCCCCTCTGGTCTTATCTTCTCTATCTGTCTCTGGGTACCCGTTGCGGCAGCATTTGTGAGTTGCCACGTCAGCAGACCACATCAGCAGGCCACGTCAGCAGGCCATGTGAGCAGACCACGTGAATAGGCCACGTCAGCAGCAGGGAGTGCCACGTCAGCAGACCCCCAACCTGGTCTATCTTCACGCACTCGCAAACAGCCATCATGGACGAGAAGTCTGGGGAAATGGACGAGGCCTATTAGGCCCGAATGCTGCTTCTGATTACCGAAGCCAAGCAACGGTCGGATGCAGTAGCAGCCGCAACAAAGAAGAAGGCAGAGGACGCCGAGAAGGCACGTCTGTTGGCAATCGAACAGCAGCGCCAGCACGACGAGGCAGCAGCGAAGGCTGCCGATAAAGAATGAATTCAACGGCGCGAGAAGATATTCAGCGGAGAGCGAGCTTTGCTCACAATTGCAATGGACTGGCGGGCCGAGGCCGAGAATGGCAAGATGGAAGAGAGTGAAAACAAGATCGCTCTACTCCTCTCCCATCTCACGGACGTCCTGGCAACATGCATTACATAGCAGGAGGATATCCACAACCTCGATGACACGTTAGCTCAAGTCAGCAGCCGCCTGCAGCAGCTGGGGCAACGACCCGTCGCCGCCCCCGATGCCAGCTCCTCCAACACCTCTGATGGCCTTGAGGCATTGGAGATTGATGTCGTATCCCTCAAGGACGGCGTGCAGTTAACAGCAAACCACAACGCAACAGTTGGAGCAGCGGATCTGTACTGCCGCCACCCACTCGAGCTCAGAACCGTGCGAGATGACTCCAAGGTTAAATGATCAGGAGATCTTCTGCGACTCGACGAAGACGGACCCGATTCTATGGTTCCGCAAGTTCGAGCTCAAGTTGCAGCTCCACTACATCAGCGAACACGAGCACCACACATACTTATACTCCCGGTCGAGGGGCGCGTGCCAAGCATGGTTGGACAATCTCTTGTCCAAGTACGGAGTGGTGACTGCCGACTTGTACACCAAGATCAGCTGGGATGATCTAAAGGCGGCGTGGCATAAGCGGTTCCAAGTAGAGCCGTCGGAGATCAAGGCAATGGACAAGCTGATGACCTTCAAACAAGGCACGCTGCCGAGTGTTGATTGCCGAGTACCAACGCTTGACATCCGTCCCATACCTTCAAATGGGCTTCAAGGCCGTCAAACACTACTCCATCTCGAGGTCTTGTCCGACGTTGGGCAATGCCTTGGCTCACGTCGAGGACACCCTAACGACAACGGTGGATCTCTTCAACAAGGCCGCGCAGGTCATTGTCACGAACAAGGAGGCGAAGAACCTCCACCGTTCGTCTGCGGCATGCCTGAGCAGAGATCAGCATCGACCGAAAGTGGCCGTGGTCGCGGCGGCAACGCCAACTGACCAAAGTAGCGAGGCCGTGTCTGCCAATGAAGGGGACAGACTCGCAGCCGCCCGGGATGGTGGCCGCCCCGACAAAGGTCGAGGACACAGCAAGACGAAGACAAACACCGCATCTAGCCTCGGGCCCGGCGCAGCAGCTCCAGCCCCATGGTCCCACTACGGTCTCTCTGAGCAGGCGTACAAAGCACGCACGAGATTCCGCTATTGTCTGTGGTGTAACAGCGATCTCCACGACACAATAGGTTGCCCGTCGAAAGGCATTCGACGACAGTCTCGGCGCCTTCATAACCGGTCGCTTCGCGGGTGACCGCCCTTCGTTCCGAGGCACATGCGGAAGTCGACAGTCCTCTTCTATATTCTTATGAGGACTATGCTGCCCGGCTCGTTCCTATGCTGGGTTCTCATGCTCAAGGACAAGACGTGTGTGCGACATCTTCTCCGTCCGGCAGTTGTGACTTATCGTCTTCTCTAAGTTGGATTTGAAGTCGGGATACCATCAGATTTCGATCCGGCCGAACGATCGCTATAAATCCGCGTTCAAGACACGGTATGGGCATTTTGAGTGGGTGGTCATGCCTTGTGGCCTCACCAACGCCCCGACGACCTTTCAAGCGGCAATGACCAACGAGTTTCGTGCGATGTTGGACCGATTCATGCTKGTCTACTTAGACGACATTCTCGTCTATAGCCAGTCATTGGAGGATCATCTTGAGCACCTTCAATGAGTGTTGGAGATGCTCCGCCGCGCCAAGTACAAAGCCAWCCGTGACAAGTGSAAATTTGCCCGGCAAGAGMTGGAATACTTGGGCCATTTTGTCACACTAGAGGGCATCAGTCCGTTGTCAGACAAGATTCAAGCCATCCAAGAGAGGCCGGAGCCGCGGAACGTSACGGATGTCTGTTCGTTCCTTGGCCTTGTCGGCTTCTACAAKGGATACTCGAAGATTGCGGCCCACTTGACCAAGCTTCAATGCGAGGATCGGCYGTTTGACTTCAGGGAGGATGCGCGGGAATCATTTTTGGCTCTCAAAGCCGCGCTATTATCTACGGAGGTCTGTGCATATTCGACCATTATTGCCAACGCGCGCCACTACGGATGCGTCCGGCTATGACATTGGTGCCATCCTCGAACAACACGATGGCGTGGACTGGCACCCGGTCGAGTACTTCAGCAAGAAAGTGCCTGGCGTGCACTCCCCGCGTCCAGGTTCCACCTTTAGATCGTCAGCTTCGCCCTCGACGTGACTTGACTTCATAAGGGGGGGGTGTTACATGCTGTGCCTACAACAGGCTGCACGGGCCATTTTCAATCCCGTGTTGTTTTCACCCCTGAAGCCTGAAAACAAGGGCCTACAGGCCCTGTGTCGTTTCAGCCTGAAAAGCCTGAAAACATGGGCCTACAGGCCCTGTGTCGTTTCAGCTTAAAACAAGGCCTTTCCAGCCCTGAGTCTTTTCAGCCTGAAACTGAGGGCCATTTTCAGGCCCTCGTAAGGTCGACCTTCCCAGAAACTCAGGCACCAGACCGGGGTCTTAGCTTCAACCTGCCCTCATAAGGTCGACCTTCCCAGAAACTCAAGCCCTCGTAAGGTCAACCTGCCCTATTTTCAAGACAACCTTTGTTTGAGCTTCAACCCCGGGGTCTGGCACGTTTTGGCATTGGCTAGAGCAGCCTCCTGGACAAGCCAGCACTATAAAAGATTGGCCCACCCTGCAGGCTGTAGGTAGTTCCTAGGTACTTCCCAAGCACTTCACGTGCAGTTCAAGAGGTAGGAGGTAGTTTTCAAGATTCGGCAGCAGCACTCTGGAGGAGCGTTGCAGGGGTAGTAGTAGCGCTAGCAATAGTCTTCAACGCTGGGCGCTAGTAACGTTGGCAGTAGTCTTCAGCGCTGGGCGCTAGTAGTAGCTAGAGTAGTACTGGAGAGAGAGAGAGGTTGGGCTGAGGCCAGGGAGACTTACCAGCAGCGCCATAGCTCCAGCTTCGTCTTTGAGGTACCTGTAGGACAACGCCAACTTGATAGGTTAATACTTGGCACGTGAGTGAGTGAGAGAGAGAGAGAGAGAGAGAGAGAGAGAGAGAGAGAGAGAGAGAGAGAGAGAGAGAGAGAGAGAGAGAGAGAGTTCTTCGACTTCCTCTTCTTAGTCCACCATCTCCCTCTCACCCTCTAGCTGCTCGACTTCACTACATCAGCAGACTACGAGAGAGAGCTTGGTGACATTTGGATCCAGACTCGATGTTGGGCTTCAGACATTTTGACAAGGGATGATTTGGGACTTGTAATGAAGACTTGGTGTTGACAACTTTCCCATCTCCCCCCTCCTCTTCTTCGTCTGTTCCCCTCCTCTTCGTCTGTGCATGATCAGGACCTGGCACATTCTTCCTGTGTGTAGAGCCAGGCCTCCTTCACACCTTGTGATAAAGATGATGTATGTTTAGTCTGCATTGCAACATTGATTGGGCTCGTTATTGGTATTCTAGTATTCTGTTGCACTGTCTTGTACTACGTGAGGGAGGTCAGTCCCGGTCAGGTCAGGACTTGTATCTAAGTCGTCCGCTGCGCCACAAGGCGCCATTTTGTACGTATCAGAATGTATGTTGCTTGTTGAGATTTCACTAGCACTACATTGTCCATTCAGTCCTTTTTATCACATTGCGGATTCTTGGTTATATATGTACATCGGCCAACTGGGCATGTAAGTTGATGATGTAACACACACACACACACACACACACACACACACACACACA